GAGGGGAGAGGGAGGGCTGGGGAAGACAGGGGAGGGGAGAGGGAGGGCTGGGGAAGACAGGGGAGGGGAGAGGGAGGGCTGGGGAAGACAGGGGAAGGGAGAGGGAGGGCTGGGGGGCTGACGGAGGGCGGGCTCTGGGCTCAGAGGTAGGGGAGCTATGCTCTGGGAGGGGGCTCTCCTCCTCCAGGGGCCTGGCTCCAATGCTCTGCCCCAACCCTCTCCCTGGTGCCACCCTTGGGCTAAGATGACAGGGGCTGCAGAGTGTCCTCATGGTGATTACTAGAGACAGAGCAGCTATGGCACAGGATGCCACCAGGCCCCCAAGGTCTGAGGCCTGACCCTGAGGCCTGCGGGCTCCTGACCCCCAGCCGTGAGGGCTGGGCCCAGCGATGGCGAGAAGACCAGCCTTCAGCCCCAGGTTAGGATGGCCGGGGCACAGTCCCACTCCCTGTGAGCTGGACCCGAGAGCCGAGTAGTCCCCTGTGTCTGGCCGCCATGGCAACAGCCCCATCCCTCCAAGGTCCTCGGGCCTTCTCAAGTCTTCAGCTGACCCCTCAAGGGCCGGGCCTGGCTGCAGGGGCTGCAGGCATGGTGAGGGGAGGCCGCACCTCTGCTTCCTCCGCGGGGCGAGCGGCTGGCGGCCTAGATGCGGCTGGACGAGGTGCTGCCCGAGCTGATGGGGAGCCTGGCACTGTCCGAGCTGCTCTTCAGAGGGGAGGGCCCGCCCCGGGCCTGCAGCCGCATGGACCAGTACCAGAGGAAGATGAGGAAGCCTGCGGGCAGTGAGCGGGCACACGGCTCAGCGGGCAGTGGGCAGCCCCATGTCAACCCTCCCTCACCCTCCCAGAGCCACCTGGACTCAGATCTGCCCCCGGCCCTCCGCCCTCCACAGGCTTCCGGCACCAACGTGACCCAGGAGCACCTACTACGTGCCAGGCCCTGCGCAATTCACTGGGCACCACCTCGCTTTATCCTCTCGGGGAGCCTATGAGGTCGGGCCTAGTCAATACTCTTCTGTTTTACAAATGAGGACACTGATGCCCCGGGAGGTCCAGGGACTTGGCTGAGCCAGGTGTCACACAGCGGGGGTCAGGTTCCGGAGCCCACCTGCCTGAGCGCCAGGCGGTATTCCTCCTCTCCAGATAACAACACCATAATTTATCACTAGCTCAGTAAATGTTTGTGTGAACTTAGGGGCAACATTTATAACCCTCGCTTCACAGGCCAGAAAGCAAAGACTCGCTCCCTCACCCCTACTCTGTTCCATGGGGAAGGCTGCGTGGGAGGCTGGCCTCACAGCCCCTGTGGGCCCCCCC